GGGGGGGGGAAGGATCCTAGAAATAAATACTCTAATATTTTACCTCCTGATGGGTCATATTTGCAGTTTCCTCTCCAGCTACTGATACAAGGAAATCATTTGCGGTCAACCCAACCTGGGCTCAACAGAACATTTTTTGTGGATTTCTGCCACTCTATAAATGGGTGTAACTTAAAAGTGTGTCTACATTTCTTGTTAAATATCCGAAAAATATTTACGTTTATCAGAAAAAAAAATTTTAAACTGTTTTAAATTTTTTTTTTGTAGAAATTATTAATTTTATTTGTGTAAAATATTATTAAAAACATAAATACATATAGGAGGAAAAACGTTGTTTTTTGTGAACTAGGGTATTTTATGAATAACTATAAAGAAAAGTTATATAAAAGCTTTGTTTTTCCTTTGAAAAGTTATATTTTATGAATAAATATAAAGAAAAGTTAAAAGCTTTTTTTCCTTTTGAAAAGTTTAACTTTAAACATTTTGTAAGAAAATTATTTAAAATATCAAATAAAATAAAAAATGTTTGTTCTGAGTTTCCTTGGCTGCGAGGCTTTCTTTGACCACCTAGAACAAAAAAAAATTAAATATTTTTTACAATTTTTTACTTTTATAATTTGGGCATAAAAAATACCTCAGCCAAAAAAGAATTATGAAATTATTCAAATGATTACAACTAATAAATACAAAAATTCAACCAAAAAAATCCTAATTTTGTTCAATCAAAAAGTAGCCAATTAAGATAAATGTAATAAAACATTTACAAAATTATCCTTAAACTTCCAAAATTGTGGAAGTAGAAGTATTTTAAAAAGTATTTTAAATCAAAAAATATGTGTTAAAAAATGTTAAAAAATGTCACATTTATTGTTACCAACTTGATATTCCACTCTACCACTTACACTCTGCAATGAAATTTGAGTATTGGTATTGAAAAGAGATTATAGAAAATATGTAATCATGGTGGAGGTCTATTCTAGTATTGGTATTGAAAAGAGATTATAGAAAATATGTAATCATGGTGGAGGTCTATTGTGTACAACTGGTGACTTTGCCACAAACTCTAATTTTCTAATCCCTACATCTGTGAAATCCAATGTCGTAGACCTTATATATTCTATTCTGTTGGATCAATTAATCTAAGTTTGAAATATCAAACCTAAAACGATTAGAAAGTTTGAGTTTGTGGCAAAGAATCAATTCTTATATACATCTACTTGCAGGAATAGTTTTTTAAGGCTTCATGGGATCGATGGATACAAATGGTCTCAGTTCTTGAATTGATTTTAACAATTAATATATGAAAGACATTTTGGAAACAGCATAGAATGCTCGAGATTTTCGAGGAATATATGAAACGTCAACTGTGTTACGCTAGCGTACATTCTAGCTTAATGCAATTTAAACATCATTTTAGAGATAAACACACGGAAATCTCTGTCTTTGTCGTTGTGGAATATATAAACTGCAAGTTATGGAACATGAACAGCAAGTTATAAAACATGAATGTTAGATATTATTCATCTTTATTCAAATGCATGGCAAATTTTTTAAATAAAATAATTCTTCTATATTTTAAAAATATTAAAATAAAACTTGAAAGAACTGTATTGTTGAAATTATATCTGCAAGATAATAATGCGAATAAACATATTTGAACTACCTGAGAATACATATTAAAGTAAGGACAGAAAAAGATAAATATTTTGAGAAATTGTGTAGATGCAACTGTATCATTTTGGAGATTACATGCAACCCTTTTGCAATTAAAAAAATGTTTTGTGGATGGTTTGCATTTTTAATCATGTATATTTTGGTTTTTCAATACTTGTTTGTTCAAGAATTCTATTTTTATCAATTTAAGTAAAATATCTTGAAAAATTGCGAATTTATCAAGTTTGCTTTTTTAAATCATGTAAATATTGAATTTTTATACTTGTTTGCTTAAATTCATCATCTATTTTTCAAAATTCAAAATTTTTATTTAGAAATATTAAAAACATTTTTTCATCATCGGAGTACTAGGAGACCCCCATTGGAGACCCAAGATGTTCATTTGAAGACCCAGTACTTTTGGTCCGAGACCCCAAGATCTTTACTGAAGTTACCAGTCACTTAAGGGAGACAAACTTTTCATTGCGGACCCCAAAATCTTTACCGGAAGCCTTCAGAAAACAGAATGGTTTTCACGGTGAAAATTTGGGGTCTCCGAAAAAACTCAAATGATGATGACTTCTTCCCAAACTGACATTACAGTGTGGTTTTTTTTCGAAAATATTAACTAATAAATGCATTAAAATATTATTATTAATTTCAGTTTGATTAATTCTTTACAAATGTACCAGTTTTGATCTTATTAAAATTTCATTTCTTTAGAAAAAAAGAATCAAGAAAGAGTTAGAAATTCCTCAATTTTATCAAATAAAACATTTCCTGGAATTTTTTTCTTTAAAAACAAAACAAAAAACTAATTAAGTGCAAAACCTAAAGCAGGACTGCAGTTAGAAAACATTATCACCCGCGGGAAAAATGACCTACATAATCCCCCTAAAACTGATACTCCGTTATAGTGTGTAAAAATGTAGATAAATTCAGGCATCTCTGTTTGAAAGGGGTCAGGGTATTAAATATCAGTTTCATGCTTTCAACTTGTCATTCCCAGCATATCTCAAGACAATTTATAAAGGGTGTTCCCAAAAATGTGCTTTTTCTAAGAAAAAGGTTATGATTATCCTAGTTCACCCTGTAATGTCTTCAATTTTCACCCCGACCAGATTTCAGACTAAAGTAAATTATTTTGGACGCACCCTGGAGCCTGAATTCTCTGATGCATGTTTAGCATGCATTCTGTATGTTTATTATACTCCCCTTTCACAAAATAATCATTTTGACAACTTATGTCAGTTTGACATTATACACACGTTATCTTTGTTTGAAGATGCACAATCATTGTAGACATTTCTGCACAATCATTGTAGACATTTTCTGCACAATCATTGTAGACATTTTCTGCACAATCATTGTAGACATTTTCTGCACAATCATTATAGACATTTTCTGCACAATCATTGTAGACATTTTCTGCACAATCATTGTAGACATTTTCTGCACAATCATTGTAGACATTTTCTGCACAATCATTGTAGACATTTTCTGCACAATCATTGTAGACATTTTCTGCACAATCATTATAGACATTTTCTGCACAATCATTGTAGACATTTTCTGCACAATCATTGTAGACATTTTCTGCGACATTTTTTTAAGTATAAAAAGCACAGGAATTAAGTCTTTTCTTTTCCTAATTTCAAAATTTTCTAATTTCTATATCTGTGCAACCTGTTGGTATAAACTATTGATATTTCAAATTTAGATAATTTGATCCAAAAGAATGCATATCTTTTGTCTACAATTTTGGGTTGCAAAGATATTGGGATTTGAAATCAGAGTTTGTGGCAAAGACACAACTTCTTTAAATTGGTTTCCTATATTAGAAAATCAGAGTTTGGTTGCCTACATTAGAAAATCAGAGTTTGGTTGCCTACATTAGAAAATCAGAACTTCGTTGCCTATATTAGAAAATCAGAGTTTGGTTGCCTATATTAGAAAATCAGAGTTTAGTTGCCTATATTAGAAAATCAGAGTTTGGTTGCCTACATTAAAAAATCAGAGTTTGGTTGCCTATATTAGAAAATCAGAGTTTGGTTGCCTACATTAGAAAATCAGAGTTTGATTGCCTATATTAGAAAATCAGAATTTGGTTGCCTACATTAGAAAATCTTTGGTTGCCTACATTAGAAAATCAGAGTTTGGTTGCCTACATTAGAAAATCAGAGTTTGGTTGCCTATATTAGAAAATCAAAACTTATTAATCCCCGGACAACTGAACTATGGACAAACTGACATAATAAAGGCTGATTGGCACGGACAACGTCGGGTACTTCTGCAACAGTAATTTTAAGTGACACTCAGTGAGTAGATGGCAATGCCCGATTTACAACGGTACCCTTGAAAGCTTTGTCTGATCAAGTATGAATTAGATATCCATGTTTTGTTTATTTAAACTGCAATTCATTATAGTTTCAGTAGAAGTAAACAGTTCTATTTACTGTTAGCGCCGATTGAAGGATTCATAACTCTAATTGGATAATGATCTAGATAGAAAGATAGATGTTACCGCCACACTATTTCTATTGGTTCAGAATTGACACCAAACACATGACTGAACCCTGATTGGATCAGGCGCTAATGGACTCGGCGTACTGGAGTATTTTCATTAGAGCAGTAACACTGACTTGTTTTTAAGATTCACCGACAAAGGGTCAAACGACCCAGGGTCAAACGACACAGGGTCAAACGACGAAGGGTCAAACGACACAGGGTCAAACGACAAAGGGTCAAAAACCCAACAAAGGGTCAAACGACACAGGGTCAAACGACAAAGGGTCAAAAAATGCGACAAAGGGGCAAATTTTTTTATTTTGACAGTTAGTATTTTTTTATTATTATTTAGGATTAGGTTAGGTTCATTCTGGGCCTAGCGCTGCGGCTAGGACAGGCTAGGGGGCCGAGCGCTGCGGCAACATGGTCAATTATATTGCCAACCCGACCATTATGAAAGCCAGAATCAGACTAAAGTTTTAAATCTTCAAAAAAGTTTGGCGGATTTTTGTGATTAAAATTGCGAGTTTCCTATGATTCAAATCAAAAAATATTTTCATCATTTTGACCTTTTGTCGTTTGACCCTTTGTCGCACTTTTGACCGTTTGTCGTTTGACCCAGTGTCGTTTGACCCTGTGTCGTTTGACCCTGTGTCGTTTGACCCTTTGTCGTTTGACCCTGGGTCGTTTGACCCTTTGTCGGTGAATCGTTTTTAAGAATCAATAGAAACAATGGAGAAAATTACAGAAATAAAAAATTTTAAAAAACTTTATTTTTGCTTAGATTAAGGTTTCAAGGGTACTGTTGTAAATCGGGAATCACTATCACCCTTGCATGCCGAGTCCATTAGCGTATGATCCAATCAGGGTTCAGCCATGTGTTTGTTGTCTATTCTGAACCAATAAAAATAGTATGTTGGTAACATCTATCTATCTATTTCATTATCCAATAAGAGATATCGGCGCAATACAGTAAATGGAGATATTTACTTCTATTGAAACTATAGTGCTATCTAATGGCATGGAGGGCCACATAAAATAACGCTGACAGTCCCTTTAAACGTCTGTAGATATGTTCCATGTATCCTAATATAACCTTGATCTGAATAAATTGCCAAGATATTTCCGCATTATTTTCTTTAATTAGGAGAAAGCTTAACGTTTAGATAACAGGCCGGGAAATAAGATTTAGATTAAAGTAATTAAATAGTTAGATAGTTTAGATAGATAGATAGTTAGATAAATATTTAGATATATAGACAAAGTATAGTTAGATAGACAAGGTATAGATAAATAGACAAAGTATAGATACATAGACAAGGCATAGATAGATAGACAAGGTATAGATAGATAGACAAGGTATAGATAAATAGACAAAGTATAGATAAATAGACAAGGCATAGATAGATAGACAAGGTATAGATAAATAGACAAAGTATATATAGATAGAAAAGGTATAGATATATAGACAAGGTATAGATAGATAGACAAGGTATAGATAAATAGACAAGGTATAGATAGATAGAAAAGGTATAGATAAATAGACAAGGTATAGATAAATAGACAAGGTATAGATAGATAGAAAAGGTATTGATAAATAGACAAGGTATAGATAAATAGACAAAGTATAGATAGATAGACAAGGTATAGATAGATAGACAAAGTATAGATAGATAGACAAGGTATAGAAAGATAGACAAGGTATAGATAAATAGACAAAGTATAGATAAATAGACAAGGTATAGATAAATAGACAAATTATAGATAAATAGACAAAGTATAGATAAATAGACAAGGTATAGATAGATAGAAAAGGTATAGATAAATAGACAAGGTATAAATAGATAGACAAGGTATAGATAAATAGACAAGGTATAAATAGATAGACAAAGTATAGATAGATAGACAAAGTATAGATAAATAGACAAAGTATAGATAAATAGACAAGGTATAGATAGATAGACAAGGTAGATAGACAAGGTATAGATAAATAGACAAAGTATATATAAATAGACAAGGTATAAATAGATAGACAAGGTATAGATAAATAGACAAGGTATAGAAAGATAGACAAAGTATAAATTAAAATTGCTCAAAAGAATTATTTTTTTCCACTATGCGCACTGCATTGTATATTTTAAAGATATTTATAAAAATTTGCATATTCAAAATTGAATGATTAATTGTTCATATTTCAAACAGAATAATTATCTTTGAAAATGAGGACCATGGGAAATTTGGATTTTAATTTAAAATTTTAAAATTTTCATTTAGTTAGAGCAGTTCAAAAATAGATTCAATTTAAATAAATGGTAATATGGAAATTATGTAGTTACAGGCTTTTTATATGGGTAGTGGTTACAGACTCTTGTACCCGCAATTAAAAAGTGATCAATTTAAAGATAGTAAAACAGTAAATCTCATACAAAGGTTTAAAGGGTTTCGTTGTGAATTAGACGTGCTACTTTATAAATGACAGGTGAATATTAATCAACCTTTGTCAAAAAAACAAGTAAACATAAGATGGAGCTGTTATATATAAATAAATACATTTGTTGAATGGTTGGGACACTTGTACAAAGCTTCTTAAATTCTTATCTTTTATAAAGTTTGGTTGGGTTCATATAACTTTGCCTTCCTCCTATAGACACTTGATGGAGAGCTATACAAGAATAGAAGAATACCATTCTTCACAAACTTTTATTACTCTGTCGCTCTGTGCATTTCTCAGTTTTGTCAGGAAAATGGAGTAGAATATATCAATCCAACTAATCTGGAGTATACCTGGGAGATGGTGAGAGGTTGACCCTTCCCTCCAGCTAGTCTGGAGTATACCTGGGAGATGGTGAGAGGTTGACCAGTACCCTTCCCTCCAGCTAGTCTGGAGTATACCTGGGAGATGGTGAGAGGTTGACCAGTACCCTTCCCTCCAGCTAATCTGGAGTATACCTGGGAGATGGTGAGAGGTTGACCGGTACCCTTCCCTCCAGCAAGTCTGAATCCCCAGCTCTCATTACTGTCCTCTCTTGAGAGAGTAACAGTTACAAGATCTTTACCCATCTGAAATTATAAATTATTGACAGTTTTAAGAATTGGATTAGGCAGTTGAAGCATGTTGATGCCATTATTTATTTATGAAAAGTTTCATTATGTGTTTATTCCATTTTGAGAGAATTCTTATCCCGCATTTTTACTCTTCGCTATGAAAAGTTTCCTAATTGTTCCGGGGCAAATAGTAACACTTTAAACCGGCAAAACAGGGTTCCCTTTTTATTTCCTGGATTTTAATAAAAAAGCACATTTTTTAAAATTTGAATTGAATAGATTTATATATCCAACTATCTTAAAAAAACGTTGTTGGTGATTAAAAATCTTGAACTTAAACCTTAAACTATTAAAAAATAAAACATCAATTACACTCTTATATTTTTTACATGCAGTGTTCACAAGTTGTCCTAGCTGTCACTGCTACATCAATCTTAACGGCATCAATTAAATCAGTTTATTCTTTGTTCATTTGACAATTGTATTTCAAACTAATGTTAATAGCTTGCCAATAATAAGAAGCAAAACTTGCGAAGCTTGCGAAAAATGAAAGAGGGTATAGGCTGGTATCGAATCGAATTAATAATCCCCTCAATTGTTAAAGTGCCCACATTGGATATCAAGATCAAGCATTCAAGATTAACAATACTCAACATTAAAATTCTTATATCGGGTTGCAAAGAAAATAAGATTTTGTGTAAAGCATTTTGTTCTTTTTAAAAAAAATCAGATTTATTTGTAGTTACTGTAGCTTTATTCGACTTCCCTGAGGAATTTTTAGATAAAAAAATACAAATGCAAATATCCAAGAAAAAGTACAGGTAAACCAAAAAGACTTCAGAAACGATTGTACGATATTTGTACTGTCCCCTTCCATTTGATTATGATCACCTACAACTTCAAATTTGTTTCTCTCTTTGACCAATTATTAAATAAGTCATTAAAAGACAGAATACTTAGTTTATCCATGATATTGGCAAATTTCAAGAGTTTCAAGTTGTCTTTACAATTTCATTCGTTGTGGGTGACCTTGTATATGCTTACGAAAGTTTTAAAGGGAGTGACCGGCTATGTAAGGTGGTTGAACTGAGTATGCAGTGTTGTGGAAAACTTTTTTCAGATTCATTTGAGACATATTAAACTTTTTAAAGATCTGTAAATCATGAGTTTTAGCGCAAATTTGACGTTTAAAACTCCTACTTTGGGTTGAATACGTTTTCAGAATTAGTTTTTTTTTAATTATTAAATTATGCCAAAGAAAAATAAAGTAAAAATTATACAGTAATCTAATTAGATGTTTGGGAACATATTTCTCAAAAGAAATTTGTCAATAAATCAATGCTAAAATCGATTATTTCGTTTTCATTATTATATTGAACTTCTTATTTTCTATGAATTTATTCGCAGATTTCTTCAAATTCTTCAAATGTCGTCTTTCAATAATAATTCCAGAAAATCTGCAGAAAATCTTTGTGAATAATGAGAAATCAGAATAATGAGAAAATTGAAACTAATAATTGAACAAGATTACACATTTTCGACGATAAGATTAATTTTTATTTTCTCAACATGTTCCTTTACCTGATGTCTGTAGTTTATTGTAGATTTTTTTTACATTTTATGTCGTTGTTATATAATAATTTAAGAAAACTAATTCTGAAAACTTATCCACCCTCAAAGTAAGAGTTTTGAACGTCGAATTTGCGCTCAAATTCATGATTTACAGATCTTTAAAAAATTTTATATGTCTCAAATGAATCCGAAAAAAGTTTTCCACAACACTGCATACTCAGTTCAACTACCTTACATAGCCGGTCACTCCCTTTAAGACGGAAAAATGTAAAAAGCCTCTCAAACAAATTACAGAACTTGAAAATGAGTTTGAAAACTAAACTGCAAAGTTTGATATAATGTCTGGTTAATATGTCATGACTTTGTTAGTTTTAACTTGGGCAACTTTTTCTGGAGCAATGTACATACATTAACGTACATACATTAACGTACATATAATAACGTACATACATTAACGTATATATATTAACGTACATATATTAACGTACATATATTAACGTACATACATTAACACATATATATTAACGTACATATATTAACGTATATATATTAACGTACATACATAAACGTACATAGATTAACGTATATACATTAACGTATATATATTAAAGTACATATATTAACGTATATATATTACCGTACATATATTAACGTACATATATTAACGTACATATATCAACGTATATATATCAACGTACATATATTAACGTACATATATTAACCTATATATATCAACGTACATATATTAACGTATATATATTACCGTACATATATTAACGTATATATATTAACGTACATATATCAACGTATATATATCAACGTACATATATTAACGTACATATATTAACGTATATATATTAACGTACATATATCAACGTATATATATCAACGTACATATATTAACGTACATATATTAACCTATATATATCAACGTACATATATTAACGCATATATATCAACGTACATATAAAAACGTACATACATTAACGTATATATATTAACGTATATATGTTAACGTACATATATTTTATTATGATTAACGTAACTTCAGTTAAATTCAGCCCAAATGACTATATTTGAAATCTTAAATTTTGTTACAGCTGTAGATCTAAAATTTATTTATTTGAAAATGCCTTAAAAAGTGAAGGTATAGAAACATGTGTCACATGTTATAGTTTTTAAATGTTTAGCCCTCTAACCATTAAAGTTAGAGGTCTATTTTTTTAATGAACTGACCTTGAAAAGTTGGACTAGTGACATATATCACACTCGGCTATCTCAACTTTAAAGGGACTGTTAAGGAAAAATAAAAGGGGGTATAGGCTGAAAGCTGATCACTTTAGCTCTCAATCGCGACCCATGAAAGTTATATCTGATTTACAACTTTGTCAAATTTATACGAAAATTAATATATATACATTTTGTATAAAAGTAATGCGTTTAAAAAGATCAAATTTAGCAAATATGCAACCAATCTGAAAACGATGATATCCCAGAGAAAGCTAATTGTAACTTAGATTTACTCCAATTCTAATTTTATATTTGTTATTTCTATTTTTTATAGATTTAATTCATAATATTATTTATACGTCCGTATTGCTTGACCAGAAATTCCACCAATGGTAGTGCAGTAAAGTGGTCACGTGATACAGGTGGAGACACGAAACCAGTATACTGCTCTGCCATTGGTGATAGTTCTGGTCATGTGATTTAAGTTTAAGATTTTCTAAATTTTACATATATGAACTTTCGTATAATTTTAACACAGTTTTATATCAATTTCTCGAGATAGGAACTTCAGATAAAACTTTCATGGGTCGCGATCAAGAGCTAAAGTGATTAGCTTTCAGCCTACACCCCCTTTCATTTTTCCTTTACAGTCCCTTTAAGAGCAAAATCAAAAAAAATGAGTTTCACAAAATATGGCCTTTATTTTTTATTAATTGTTGATTGTTGTTTTTTCTTAATATTTAATTATTTATTTCTTAAAACCAGTTTAAGGTTTAACTTTCTATATGCTGTAATTACACACAGGGTGGAATTTTTTTTACATAATCATCGTTTGTGAATTAACCGAAATATATTTTCAATAAATGTGGAGCTAACATCTACTTTTTTTACTCCTACAGAGGTCTGGTCCATCACCATCACCAAATGTTCAATTAACATATTTTAAGGTTTTTATATATTTTTGTTTCGATTTTAAATTAGTTCAGTATTACGCATAATTATATAAATCGTTTTTATTTAATCAGCGAATAATTTTTTGGGTAGAAATGGGAAGATGAACTTAAGAGAACATTGAACAGTCATTTTTTGTTTGAGCCAACATGAATTTGTGGTTGAGGTTAAAAAAAATTGTGGTTGAGGTTTAAAGAATTTGTGGTTGAGGGTTTAAAGAATTTGTGGTTGCGGTTTAAAGAAGTTGTGGTAGAGGTTTAAAAGAATTTGTTGTTGAGGTTTAAAGAATTTTTGGTTGAGGTTTAAAAGAATTTGTGATTGAGATTTAAAAAGATTTGTGGTTGAGATTTAATAGAATTTGTAGTTAAGATTTAAAATAATTTGTGGTAGAGGTTTAAAAGAATTTTTGGTTGAGGTTTAACATTATTTGTGGTTGAGATTTAAAATAATTTGTGGTTGAGGTTTAAGAGAATTTATGGCTGAGGTTTAAAAGACCCTCTTTAAAACTTGATAGGCTAGGGTGGGACTAGTTTTTTGTCAGCAATATCATTTTCTAAATTGTCACCTTGAATTTTTTTTACTTTTTAGGAATAATAATTTAAAGGATAAAAAAAGAAGAAAAAATTAAGCAAATGGTTGGGAACAGAGCGGTAAAACGTCCGGTCTGTGTTAAAAGCCCTTGAAAAATGGATGTAGAAACATGTGCCACATCTTAATGTTTGTCAAAAACAAAAACGAATATTTGTTTGCATGATTCCGACCCTTATTTTGGCATTTTTTCGACCCTTATTTTGGCATTTTTCCGACCCTTATTTTGGCATTTTTTCGACCCTAATTTTGGCATTCTTCCGGCCCTTATTTTGGCTTTTTTCCGACACTAATTTTGTCATTTTTCCTACCCTTATTTTTGCATTTTTCCTACCCTTATTTTTGCATTTTTCCTACCCTTTCTAGCACATGTATTCCAACTCTATACCTTCCCCCCTAGGCTTTACACATATTTAAACCACCCAGCCTGTATTGGGTTCAAGTTATTTAATCTGAGAAGTGAATTAAACAATAACAACATTTGCATTTTATCTGATGTCATTTTTTAACAAACTAAAACATGTCTCCATTAAGCTTTGAGCTGACAACAAGCTTAAAAAAAGACATTAATTGAATAAAAAATATTTCTGTTTAAGTTTCAGTGTTTTGCTTGCAAAGAAATAATTGAATTTCTCCCGAATTTTAAATTTAGCGAATGCATAAAGTTTAATGTTATTGCTTGAAAGTGGATTTTAAAGCTTATGCAAGCATAA